ACAAAATCGTACATTTTGGACTCAAACAAACAATAAATCATATCTAAAAAAATTGGAATTCAAAGCATGTTGTATATTTTAGATGTTTCATACTGGATTGGAGTAGAAGAAAACAAAAAAAATGAAAATTCACTCCAACACAAATCGAAAAATGTTACCAAACAAACTGACCTTGTCCTTGTATTTCAACGGACCAGAACTTGGTAGGCCTTTTGAATCTGAGAACCTTTGGTCGCCTATATCCTTCACATAATTTTCAATGTCAGTCATTGACAAAGGAGACGACTGATGTTGTTTAACATAAACCACATCCCTTCCACCAATTGTTGCAGAGGTGACAATATGAGTGCCATAATTTTCAATGAAACTGAGAAAAGAATTTCAAGTCAGAGGGACAGAGGGCATGAAAATATTTTCTTCAAAATATTATCTCCATTTTATTAGGGTGTCTTTGGATCACAGAAAATGTTAGGGAACAAAAAATACTAATAAAAAGTTATATTCTTTTGTTTAGCTTATGCCTTTAGGATGTTTTCTTTTGGACTGTTTTCAGTCCCAGACCAGACCAAACCAGACCAGACTTCCGTAGTTATAAAATACACAGAGACCAGACGTTTACCAGACCAGACCAGACCAGTTCAGACCAGATAAGACTAGACCAGAAAATTTCAGTCCAAAAGAAAACATCCTTAGTCCCCTTACCAGGGAAAATGTAAAGGAAAATGAAATATGATTAATGTTTTTGGAACATTTTAATACTACGCATATTTAGCTTTCTTAGTCTTTATGTAATAAAGTTCATTCACTTTGAATCTATCCTATTTTTCCCCTAATTTTCTTTGTTGACAATTGTGCTCCCTATTTTCTTTACTTAGTATTTCCCTCATTCCAAATGAACCATTAAATAACCAAAAAATACTGGGACAGTCTTATACATACAGGATTGATCACCTTGCCAACGATGGTGGATCCCAAGAAGATGGAACAGCGTTTTTGAATTCGTCATGTGCAACAAAAGACTTTGATTTTGCTAGTTTGATGGTGAAGAGTGCGATGATGTGACCGATCATTGCAAGAGACTTTGTGGCCTCAGCATCAAGTTTCCAAGAGCCAGTAAAGTTAAACATGGCATTGAAGTTTCCAAGTGGGATCTGTCCGGGTATATCTGACATGTCATTGAAGTATTTAGCCATCTGCAAATTGATTTAACAAAGGGGGTTCTGTTAGACACTCCAAAGAAAGAATATTAGCAACATGGGGTAAAAGGCCAAATTCAGAAAGTGAATAAAGATAGTAAAATCATGAAAACATCTGCACAGTATGATACTGTAAAGATTAATCTTATACCAAAGATTGAATCAAATCAATTGGCTAGTCTACACAATCAAGGTCTTATGAGCTTAAAGTCTTTCTTCAATGTCAGATTAATCTAAACGGGACTACATTGCCTTGAACATCTTATACATTTTTTTCCTTTAGCATGCTCAAAACATCAATTGCAATAACACCCATAGGTAAGGAAGTAGCATAGATCTTACCAACCAAAATGAAGTAATGTTGTTAGAGAGTCCCACAACAAAATGTTAGTCAAAGAGATGAGTTTATAAAAATTTGGGTTGAAAAAGCTAATTGGTTGAATCCGATATGTGACACAAGCGCCTTATCGCCTAGAAGAACGATCTCAACCAAATCCTATATTTTATCATTGTATCAAAATAGATTTGGTCCGCTTCTTTTGTTTGACTATCCATTTGGAAGTTCATCTCTAGATTGCATCCAATCACATGTGAGTGTCCATTTCACCTGTTGTCATTGTGGCTGTCCAGTCCTAGCGGCCCATGATCTCTTAGGCTCTCTGTCTGGGTGAAAATGTTTGGAGGTGAAAGCTTTGGTGGGCTTAGTCTCTATCTTCATATTCATTTCATATTTCACAAAAAGTAAAATAATATACTTTTGCATAAGATTGTATAACACTGTAGCCACCTTCTGTCTATTTGTAACTATGTTCTATTCATAATGATATACACTAAGCTTTCCAAAACATTCCCCTCCAAAAACCTTTATCCAAATACTCAAATAGACCCTTCAGTGCTGCTTTTGCATTTTCGATTTTAGAGGGGAAGAGTACATTTGCAAGCGACCAACAAATCAGCTTCAAAATGATCTTCAATTTGCAAGTGATGAACTAAATCACCGCTTTAAAAGAATGTGTTAGAATTTCCCATCATAATATAATATGGACCACGAGATTTATGGTCCAACTATAAGGTCTCACACCAAGTCTGTATTCAGATGCATTTCACTATCATCACTCAATTGGGAAGTTAAAAAGATTCATTCTTTTGCAAGGCAATGGTGGGAAAACCAAAAGAGTAATCTTAACACAAAACTATTAGAGATGAAAACCATAAACTCTTTTTCTTGTGTTTAACTATTTGGCATAACTAGCTGAAAAGATAAGTTTTTAACCTTTTTCGTAACTCTTAGCTTTTAGTGAGTGGAAAGTTCTTAAAAGTAAAAAAACTATACTTGTATGATAAAAGCTGATTGTTTGATGTAGTTTAATTTGGCATAACATGTTGTTACGACTAATTAATGTTAAAAGCAGCTTTCTTTTAGAAGCTACTCAAGGTAGCTTCACAAAAAAATCCTAAACTTTAAAACGAACTCTAAAAAGTGTTCTGCCAAACATAACCCTAAGAGTTTTTAGAAACTTTCTAAATAGTGCAATAAAATTGTGAAGGCCAAACATGCACATCCTGAAACTTGAGCATTGGTTTGAATCCAAAGGACTTTTGAAAATTTACACAGGATTCTAGAACAAATTAAATCAATCTTTCCAATAATGGTAAACCTAAAATGGGTGAAAGTGTAAACACGGTCGGTCAACCTATAAGCAGTAAACTGAGATCAAATTACTATATTCAAATAATAAAAGAAAAATCAAGTAAATGGTTGAATTTCAGACCTCATGGAAGCTTAAGACCGGAGTGGCCTCAGTGGTTGTAGTCCCTTCACTGCACTCAATATCAACAGAGACATTAGGGATCATAAGCCCAGGACCGAGCTGGAGATTCATGGTGTGTTCTTCATCCAGATGAACCAGGCGGGAACCAGGCGCGCCCTTGCAGTATAAGAGCCTGATATCTGAAGTAACATCAAACCCCCTGCCCAGAGCTTGGATTGAATTGCTTATAGTGGTCATCAAGTTCTCCATCTCTTGTTGATCAGCCAAATCTGGACCATAAATTCCAGCCTATCGCTGCTGCAGCTTCTTCATTCGCGAATCTGGACTTTGAGGTTCGTTGATTCTGGATATTTTAATGGTTCTTTTTGCCTTGTTGTTTTTGGGGAAGGCGTTAGTGGAATGGTGGGATAGTCAGCGGTTGGACTTTGATGTTCGTTCAATGCGAAGCTTTTGAGTTTGACTGTAATAATGGCAAAAAACGCGTTGTCATGTCTGGGGATTGGTGATGATTCCTACCACACCTGACACGTCTTTCCCTTTTTAGACTTTCCTTTCTCTTTTTATTCGATCAAATCAGACCAGATCATAGTTACAAAATACTCCCTCCGTCCCATCCCAAAATTATCTTCATAGTTACTATTCACATGATCAACTCAAATTACTCTTAATCTTTTACTTTATATATCAAATTTTTATCAAACTTAAATTTTCTTGATCAGGCTTTGTAGCGGTTTTAATGTAGTTTCTGAATATGTAAATTTTATTTACTAAAAATATTCCGAGTGTGAACAGGGATCGAGTTGTTTTATCGTTAGTCAAGCATCGTAAACCGAACTATGAAGATAAATATGGGACGGAGGTAGTACATAGAGATGAGATATTTATTAGATCAAACCAATTCAGATTAGACCAAATCATACCAGCAAATTACATTCTAAGTAAAAACATTCTAATTTGTTAATGAATACTGTTAAACTGTTACTAATGATATACTCCGTATTTATATAGGAAATTTTGATAACATAAATATGATAAGAAAATACTATTTATATAGGAAATTTTATACTATGTCATAAAAGTATAAAATTTATAAATTTAGTAATATATTATTCCTTCCGTCCCATTTTGGTTGTCTTATTTTACTTTTTGGATTGTCCCAAAATGAATTTCATATTTTCCTTTTTGGTAAAAAAATTGTGGTCCAGATCATTTCACTTCATTCTACTCAAATCTGAATCACAACTTTTGTTTTTCAACCATTTTATTAATAGTCGTGCCAAATTGAAATGAGACCACCATTATGAGACGGAGGTAGTATATAATTCAAAACCATTAACCAAAGTTTAGTGTCATTTATTTGAAAATTCAAGGATGGCAAAGTTTTATGTGAGGAGTCAGTAATACAAATGTGCATATCGTATAATTGGTTGTACAGTACACCAGTTGTACGATATACACCGATCAACCGGTGGCATTTTTGTATTTTTAGCAGAAAATTGCGACATTTGTTAATTGAGCATCAATGCAATTTTATTGATTATTAATATATATTAGTTGATTATCAAAACATTTTCATTGAGTACCAAACTTTCTCTATTGAGTATTGAAATTATGCAATTGATTATTAAAAAATCAAAACCTCATTTGAGTAATACTCCCTCCGTCCCAAAAATTCTTCCAACTTTCTTTTTTGGGCAGTCCCACAAAAAATCTTTCCACTTACTAAAAATGGAATGTTTCCCCAACTAAAAACCTCCTTTTACCCCTCTTAATTATTTGAGTTTTTTACAAGAATATTACTAAAATAAAATTTATTTACATCAATATGACTATTCATTACTATAACGTAGTGTTGTGGTAACTTAAGTTCAAAACCTGAACATGAATTACAATGATTTCATTACTATTCTAGTAACTAGTCATATTTTTGTAGACCATCTTTATTTTGGTCATATTTATGTAATTATTTCTAATTATTTACCTTCCTACTTCTTTATCTCCCCACCCCTAATTATTTATGTAATTCTTTTGTGAAAACAATTTTTTCACAAACCGCACAACAACTCTAGCATCATTGGTAGGGCTAGCAATAGCCTCTACCCACTTTGACACATAATCAATAGCGACTAAAATAAATTTATTGCCTCTTGAGCTAGGAAACGGGCCTACAAAATCAATCCCCCAGACATCAAAAACTTCACAAGGCAATAGATATGTCTGGGGCATCTCATCTCGTTTAGAAATATTTCCTACCCGTTGACACCTATCACATGAAGCAACATAAGAATTCGCATCCTTGAACAACGTGGGCCAATAATACCCACACTCTAGCACTCTTCTTGCTGTCCTATTACCAGAAAAATGCCCCCCAGCAGGGCCAGCATGACAATGGTACAAAATCTCACTCATTTCACTCTCAGGAATACATCTTCTTACTACCTGGTCAGCGCAAATCCTGAACAAATAAGGGTCATCCCAGAAATAATACTTAGCATCAGACAAAAACTTTTTTAACATGTGCCGAGATAGCCCGGTAGGCTCAACATTGCCTACTAAATAGTTGGCTATGTCTGCATACCAGGGCACCTCAGAAGCAATCTCAACCTGCAAAAGACGTTCATCAGGAAAAAGTTCTTCGATAACATCATTACTAAAAGAGTCTACCAAATCAGCATCTAATCGTGATAAATGATCAGCTGCCTGATTGGCGGAACCCTTCCGGTCCCTAATCTCTATGTGAAATTCCTGCAACAACAAAATCCAACGGAGAAGTCTAGGTTTAGAGTCGTGCTTCTGAACTAAATATCTCAACGCCGAATGATCGGTGTAGATAATTACTTCAGACAAAATAATATACGACCTAAACTTCTCCAAAGCATACACAATAGCCAGAAGCTCCTTCTCTGTAGTGGTATAATTCAATTGGGGTCCCGCTAAGGTTTTGCTAGCGTAATAGATGGGGCGGAAGTGATTATCCTTCTGTTGGCCAAGAATGGCCCCGACCACCTGATCGCTAGCATCACACATCAGCTCAAAGGGGATTTCCCAATCTGGAGCAACTAAAACTGGAGCTTCCATCAACTTAAGTTTCAGACAATTAAAAGCAAGCAAACATTCATCATCAAACAAAAAATCAGCATCTTTCTCAAGCAAACGGGTGAGAGGTTTGGCTATTTTTGAGAAATCCCGAATAAAACGACGGTAGAAGCCAGCGTGGCCGAGAAAGCTACGGACAGCCTTCACGTTCTTTGGAGGCGGGAGTTTCTCAATAGCCTCAATTTTCGCTTTGTCAACCTCAATCCCCTTAGATGACACCTTATGACCTAGCACAATACCCTCCTTGACCATGAAGTGACACTTTTCCCAACTTAAGGCCAAGTGGGTCTCCTCACACCTAATCGATTTGATAGGCTCGTTCCGTTCCTATCTTTTCACTCATATTTTGGGTGTTAATTGTCTAATTTTTATTTTAATCGGGTGACTATTGGGGGTTTTGAATGAAAATTTGTTATTTTTCGGTCCCGGTGGCATTCATATTCAGTGTAGTATTTTTCTACACAATTTGACATATTTTGGAGTAATTTGATTGTAAAATTGCATATTATTAGCGGGTGCAGTGAGTTGTGATTTTACAGGCCGAGTTTGCGGTGAATATGTTTGGACCAGATCATTTGCGGGTTACTTTAGAAGTTATTAAGTGAAGCCCAAAAAGAAAAAAAAAACTGCAGCACCGACTAGCAGCCCAAAAAGGAAAAGAGATGAGCTGGGTTTTCTCCCTGAAAACCTCAGCCGCAGGAGCAACTTCCATTCCATTCATTCTTCATGTTCGTCACTTAGCCGCAGTAGCATAGCTTTTCCATTCTCAGTTCGTAGTCAGTCAGCCGCACCAGTGGATATTTTCATCTCTTCATTTAGCCGCAGCAGTAGAGTTTATATCTATTCTGTTAGCTTTCTTTTACAAGCAGCCGCAGGAGAGCATCTTTTCTTTCTGTTCTTTTTCAATCGTAGCATCAAGCAAGTTAGCCGCAGCAGCAAGGAGCCTAATCTTCACTTTCTTTCTTCAATTCCATTCAAGTAAAATTACACTAAGTAATGATTGTAAGTTTCATCAAATTTTTACATTATTAGTTTTTGGATTTGGATTTATTTTCGAATTTGCTTGTCTGCAACTACTTAATTCAGATTTTTCCATTAATTACTACAATTCAGTTTGTACTTCTAGCTCTCTATCATGTTTATCATGCTTAGTAATAATATTGTGATGTTAATTTTAAGTATGAGTAGTTAATTCCATCTAGGGTTTGAATTGGGGCTAGGGTTTATGGGTTCTTCAGGGTGTGAATTTAGTTTTTTTTGAAATTCAATTAATTTTTTGGAAAATTGTATAAGATTAATCATAATTGACTATATGAATTTGATCACCTCATATATGAATGTCTGGATTTAATTCAATTCTTGTCTATGAGAATTTGAGTTAAATTAGCTTGGATCTTATACAAGCAATCTGATCTTAGAAATAAGTTAGGATTGTGAAAATTTGATTTAATTCTTGTCTATGAGAATTTATTTCATTTTATTTCTACGAATAATTGAAAATCAATTTTACTTAATTCTAATCCCGAAAGAACACCCAGAACCCGAACCATCCCATTTGAACCCTGTTTTAATATCTAGAATCAATTTAATTTAATTTTTCTTCCTCTACTTATTTTTGCACTCGTTGTTAGTTAGTTTTTTTTTTTATATTTCATTTCATCACCCAAAAAAAATATTTATTCGGAAAGATTACCATGACTTGTGCTAGCCTGTGATCACGGACTGTATCTAAAAACTTCCTTTTTGCCACTCCTTGAGAGACGATACTCGTGGTCTGGTTATTCTTCGGATTAGCCAACTACGTTTTACTTCACTCACTATAAAATACATCGATCAAATGGCGCCGTTGCCGGGGAGTGGCACGGTTGTTTGTTAAGTACTTTTATGTGGAATAGGTAAAAGCAAGTCGGTGAGACTTTCTATTTTTTTCCTGTTATTTTTTTGTCGTTTTTGGTGTTCTTTGCACGTGAACTAAGCTGCAGGAACCAGTGCATGCACACTCGCTCCTCGGGGGAACAAGATTTAATTGCAGGTTATTCTAATCCTGAACGCTTATTCCGAGGAAGAGCTAAAAGGCGTTTGCTAGAAGATTTGGAAAAAATGGCCGATCAGACAACTCTAGAGACGCTGACGCCTAATTATGTGGCGAGAAATAGCATTGGAGCACCCACCATTGAGGCCAACAATTTTGAAATCAAGCCGGCCATGATCCAGATGCTTGCCAATAATCCATTCTGTGGATACACTCATGAAGATCCAATGGAGCATATTGAGAGCTTTATTCAGACTTGTGCCACATTCAAATATAATGGAGTGTCCAGCGAAGCAATCAGGTTGACTTTATTTCCGTTCTCGTTGAAAGACAAGGCTTCACGGTGGCTTCGTAGCTTTCCAAACGGGCACTTTGATACATGGGAGAAGCTTCATCAAGCATTTATGCAGGAGTATTTTCCTCCCTCTGCCGCTATTAAGGTTCAGACAGAAATTCTCAATTTCACTCAAGCTCCGACTGAGACTTTCAGTGAAGCGTGGGATAGGCTGAAGACGCTGAAAAGGAAGTGCCCTGAAACATTCATGAATGCAGCAACTATTATGTGCAGATTTTATAATGGGCTTCGATTGGAGTATATGAGAGAGCTAGACCGGGCATCTCAAGGGGGTATGTTTCTGAAATTATCCCCACAGGCAGAAGAGCAAATAATTGAAAACTTGGCTTCAAATGACAAGTATTGGTATGCGGGTAAAGAGAGAGCTCAAAATCCACCCGGTTTGCTCAATCTTGATCCCATCACTGCACTTACAGCGAAGATTGAGGGGCTGGCTGTGGACGTGAAAGACTTGAAGGCACAAACCTCTCAGCAGCAGCAGGCTCATATTATTGGGGCATATTAGCCCTCTTATCCTATGTATTCTGCCCCACTTCCTGTTCGAGCAAGCTATCCAAGCCCAACCGGCCAAGAACTCGCTTTATCTTGCGAGATGTGCATGGGAGCTCACAAGGCAAAACCGTCACATCTAACCCTAATCAATCCATCTCCTTCTCTCTCTTTCTCAGTTCCGATCTAACCTCCTTCGGTCTTCCGCTCCTCCATTGTTGTACAGATTAATACTCTCTCCTTCTCTGATTTCTATTCCACTTAAACCCTAGCTCCTTCGTCGATCTAATCGTTGCTCCTTTTATGATATTCTCAACCCCTACATCTGACTTCCATGGATGCAAAATCAAACCCCCGCACCCTTGTTCAAGAACCAGTGAAATACAATGATGCATGGAGGATCTTGTGGTTTCGGATAGCGAAGAGGAGTCGGACGAGGTAGACGGTGAAGGTCAGTTGGAGCTGGTGGTTCCGGACAGTGGAGAAGAGTTGGATGACGAACACAGTCACCTTCTGATGGAGGCTGTGATACCGGACATTGAAGAGCAGAAGGAGATGATTGAAGTTCCAAAGTCTGAAGCCTTAAGAAGACGGAGAGAGGTGAAAATGCACCCTCTTTGCAATCCCCGTCTGGAGGCCTTCTTAAAAAACATTCTACCTGGATGGGAGTCTAGGATGTGGGACATTGACACATAACAGGGGAGTTTATATCTTAACATGTCTTCATGTGTCATTATGTCTGACTTTTTTTGCTTCGTTGCATGAATGGTCCATTTCTTATGTGAAAATGTTTGAATTTGGGGTTGCAATGATGAGTATATGGTGTGTTTAGGACTGAAATTGTTGGTTATCATATGTGATGAATCTTTGAGGATGTTTTGGATGTTATGTATGTTTGGTTGGTATGTGAGGCTGTTGTGATGACCATCCCAGGTCTCAGCAACCGTTGTGGCAGGCTGTAATGATGAACATATGTGATCTGAGCAAGCATTAGCCCAGGTTGTTATGTTGACCATCACAGGTCTGAGCATGGTATGTGTGATGCTGGTATTGTTCAATACTGCTTCAGCAACCCTTGGTCTTTATATGTGATGAATATGTGTGATGTTATCTATGTTTGGTTGGTATGTGAGGCTGCTGTGATGACCATCCCAGGTCTATGCAACCCTTGTGGCAGGCTGCTATGATGACCATATGTGGTTTGAGACAGCATTAACCCAGGTTTTTATGTTGACCATCCCAGGTCTGAGCAAGGCATGTGCCATACTAGGGGAGAAGGCTGTCTAAAGATATAAGCTTTCTTTGAATGGAATAGGGTTTACAAAAAGAAATAAATAAAATAAAAATATTGGAATTCAAAATGATACATCAAAACAAATTTCAATAATATTGCTAATAGGTTATATTAACTCGAATATTCCTTTTATCACACACAAAATGTCAAAATAGCTTCAACCAACCTTGGCTTGGTCAGTGAGGAGATGAGTGCCAGCCAGAACATTTAATTCAAATTTTATAAATCAAAACGTTATACTCTGTAATGTTAATATCTCAAGTTAATACGCATTGAAAAGTTTAATAAACTAAAATAACACATAAATTCTAATGATTGTCAAACAATTTTTTGTTGGCAATATTTGTTGTCTTATTTGTGGTCTAATTTTCATTGTCTTATGTGTACAACAAAGTGAGTATTTTGAATATCTCTATGTGAATGTCAATTAAACTCACACCACAAACCCAAATAGACTAAAAGTAAAAAACAATTTTTCATATTAAAAAGATCTTTGGATGAATCAT